CTGCAATCATGGCTGATTGGTCCAGGAGTGGGCATTAAGAATTTATTTGGAGCCTTGTATTGGCATCCTAAGCTATAAAATTTGTACAAGGCTACAATGGCAAACAGCTTTCCTTGTAATATTCCTGCCTCTCTCCCACTCCACCACAGACATCACGAGTCAAAAGGTGATGGGGAGAGTGCTGGGTTGATGCTCACATGATGCTCACATGTCTGCCATAGATATGTGAGGAGCAGAGGAAGCATGGTACTATTTGCCAACCCTGGCCTAAGGCTTGCAGGAATAACAATAGCACTAGGAACCCCTACTGCTATGGAGCTTTCGGGTTTACAGAGTGTCCATAGCCACACTGTTGTTGGGCCTCTCCACCAGCACTGGGTTGTGGAGTGGCCCTCCTCTGTGTGAAATGATTACTCTCAGAGTTGGAGCATAGGTTCAGGAGAGAGGCCTGAAGATGGTGGGGTGGGAGACACTTCTGAGCCAGGCAAAATCAAACCAGGACTCAACAAGTAACAAGCCCCCCTCACATACTCACTACTGACTGAGAGGCTCAGAGATACAGTGACTTGCCCAGTATCACACAGCTAGCAAATGCCAGGCTTGAACATAGGCCCTTTGCCCCTAAATCAAGTTTTCAGGGGTTCTGGCTCTCCTTATAAAATGTGCTTGTGCTCTCTCCCCTGGGCTTCCCCTGAGTCGAGTCTCAAGCAGTGTAACTTGACTGCAGATTTTCACATTGGGAAAATCCAAGAGAAGAACCTTGCTGCATGTGACTTGGTTTCTCTAAGCCCCTGGAATTCGATGTTGTAAAACGATCTCACAGGCTTATTATAAACATACATTGACGTACATCTTCAACTGTTGAAACAGCCAGTGTGGGTAAACCTGAGTCACGAATGGAGGAAGCAGAGCCTTTCAGTAAAGTCTATTCACATATGGGCACATATGTGAATAGTGGGGCCGTGTGCTTCCAGGCGGGGCTCTGGGCTCAGTTAGACCATAAGTCAGGACTGCTGTCACCTTACCTTTTCAGTCCCCTGTCTCTGGGTCTACTAGTGTTCCCAGCCGCAGTCTGAGGAACCAATCTGCTGATGTGCGGTGTGTGGAGGTAGAGGTTCACAGGCAGGCAATAACTCAGCAGCCCCGGACAAGTTCTGCTACCAAAGACCTAGAGTCTACCTGGAGCCCTGGACATTGTTTGATGACAGCACCCTCCTGCCTGGCTCTCTCATCCCTCTCACGGGCCTAAGCTCCTGCCTTCACCTGCCCTGCACAGCAATTGCCCAACGGGACTCAAAAGGCCCACTACTAATTCCAGCTGCTCCCCTGCCTGAGGCTGGCAGACTAGGCCGCCCCTTCTGTGTGGTGCCATCTCCCCTGATCTCAAGCCCTGTTTGCTGCCTGTCACTTAGCCCTACCTGCTGGAATCCTCCTCTCCATGTATACTTGCCTGAACTGTGATCAGCTTGTGTGTTCCTGCCTATGAGACCTCAGCAAGCCTGGCTATTTCCCTGGGCCCAGCATTGGTCAGCTGGGGTGGTGCTGCAGACTCCAGCCTCTGTACCACCCATGGCCTTCCCTCTCCCCACAACACCAGTCCAGAAGCTGGGAGCTCACCTTACCTCTCTAGCTTTCTACCCAGAGAAGGACAGCCCCCAAGTCCCCACAAGGGCAGAGACAGGCCACTTGTTTGTTGGAGGGAAATGAGGCTTCCTCAGGCATTCATACCTGTGCCTCTTCCCAGAGTACTCCAAATAACCAAGTGTTTGGCAGAAAAAGACACAGAGCATACCCTTGAAAGAACACTTCAAGGCTGGGCACAATGGCTGGCACTTGTAATTCTAGCACTTTGGGAGGCTTAGGCCAGGAGTTCAAGACCAGCCTAGCAACATAGACCCCGTCTCTAGAAAATAAAAATAAAAAAGAATTAGCCAAGTGGGGTGGCATGTGCCTCTAGTCCCAGCTGTTTGAGAGGCTGAGGCAGGAGGATTGCTTGAGGCCAAGAATTTGAGGCTGCAGTGAGCTACGCTGTACTATTGCACTCTAGCTTGGGTGATAGAGCAAGACCCTGTCTCTAAAAACAAACAAACAAAAGGAACAGCTCCAGAGTTCTGATAAACCTCTCTTTAATTTCAGAGTTTCCTGCAATCAGTTAAGGAGAGGCCCCACCCCTCCCCCTCTGTCAACTAACTAGATAAATACATAAAGTCAAGAGGAAACACAGTATCTGTGATGGTAAAAGGAATTTTGATTCACAGTTGGAATCAAACCTCATTGACATTGATCATGACCTCACCTCTAGCCTGTGTGGTGTTGGGGAACCGGGGTTAAAGGAATATGGAGGCAGCAGGACATCCTGGAGAGAATGAAAACTTCAGAGTCAGACAGAGCTAGATTTGAACCCAGCTGGTGAATCTGTTTTCTCTTCTGTAAAATGCGTAACTATAGCACCTACTTGACAGGTTGTATCTACATGATAGACAGGTTGCTGTGCGTGGCACATGGCTGGAGTCCAACAATACTTTATTTCAAGTCTTTCTTTTTCCACTGGAGATCATCACTGAGTTGCGGTCTCCTGGGCAGAAAGGGGGGTTGGCAGTTATCTTTCCCAGGAGGGAGCATGTGTCTGTCGTGGAACACCCTAGGAACACCCTAGGCTCTGGCAGCCTAGGTTATGCAAGGCACAACCAGAGGAGGAAGTAACAGGATCCTAGCAGGGACTGTGGTTGGAGAGGGTCAAACTGAGCTAAAGCTCAGAAGGAGATGCAGCCTGGTTCCATCCGGGGTCTGAATCAAGGGTCAGAGGGAAGCGGCGAGGCTTGGAAGTCACTAGAGCATAAGCGCATGTCTGTTTTGTTTGCTGTGGATTCTCCCATGCCTAGCGCAGCATCTGGCATCATAGGTATTGTTTAAATATGTATTGAACAAATGAAGAATAAATGAATCAGTGACAGCCTTATCAGTTCCGAGCCTGGTTGTTTCGGGAATTCCATTTGAAAACAAGGCAAAGGAGAGCAGCTGCTGGCAGGAAACAAAGGTGGGAACCACTAAAGGTTCTGAAGATACACTATGTTTAAATGGCTAGGACCTCAACTCTGGAGCCACATGGCCAGGACTCAAAGTTCTGTCATTTACAAGACATGGAACCTGGATCATGTCACTAAAATCTTTCTGTTTTTTTATTTTTTTCTTTTCTCTATAACATGGGGATAATAGAACCTACCTCATAGGATTGCTGAAAGGACCAAAGGAGATTATTTATGTAAAGTGTACACTGTAAGTGCTCAATAAACACAACTGTTAGCATTAGTTGAGAAGGGTGTGAAATTAGCTGTGTTTCCAGAAGTTTTCACAGGGAATACACACAGAATGGATTAACTTAAAGAGAAACTTTTCAATATAGTGATAGATGTTGGAGCACAGGAAGAAAAAAGTATGGGGAAAAAACCCCAGAAACTAGGTAAGAGTCATTGCAATATCTGGGCATGAGAGGATGAGGCCTAGATTAGGGGACTAGTTGGGGGACCACAGAGGGAGAGGACCAGCGCAAAACAGGAAGCTATGTGTGAAGACAAAGTCGAAATGGCTGGCAGTAGAGCCCAGGCTGGACTTTGAGTCGTTGCTGGTCATCTGGAATCTGTAGCATAAAGACAGTGATTTCCTAGCAACAAGTAATACTTTAGAATGACCCCAAGTCTCCATTTGGCTTTAGGGTGAGTTGTGTGATTTTTGTAGCAGCAAATCTGTATGGAAAATGAAGTTGTTGATCCTGGAGGGAAATGCTCCCAAAGATTCCATGGCAGCTATGGCTGGGGTATTTTCTGGGAGAATCTGATTAGGGAACCTCAATGATATCTGATGCTATCTCATCATGCCATTGAATTACCTCAGATGAGCTGCACTTGTCATCCCCACTAAGATGGGAGAGTCATTTGGGAAAAGACCCTGGACTTTCCTATCCCATTTTGTGCAGAGAGTGGGGTTGAAGACTGAACAGACATTCCATACATATTCCCTGACTTGATGGCATTATGATTGTGAGAGGTTGGGGCCCAGCCCAGGGCACTGACCAGAATTCTTGTCCCATGGTGTTTGGAGTTCCATTTCATCAATGTTAGGGCGGGCCTGTGCTGCCATGTGGGAATTGGAGTCACATGAAAAGAACAGGAGAGAAAGCTCTGTATTTTATTGACAAAGAGCACCAAAGGGATGCCGGTCAGAAAGCCTTTTAATCCGTAAACAAAGACACATGAATGGGCAAATTTTGTAAGTGAAAGCAAAGTGGCAAAAGCCCTTGGTGGTGAGCTTGGTCTCTCCCACAGGCAATGACAGCCTTGGTCATGGGTCTGGACAACACGCAATTCCAATGCAGGCTAGGAGGACATTATGAGAGAGAGCTGGGAGTCAATGATGCAGAAAGTACAGACTCAGGAGAGGCACAGAGAATGCAACCCTTGTCCCCAAGTGCAGTGGATCAGAGAGCTCAGAACAGAGATGAGGAGCTCATGGCCTCTTGTACCCTAGCCTAGAGCACACTTACTGCTCACTATCTTATTGTCCATCATTTTAAGTCAAACATCCTCAGTTCAGTGAGAGTGTATATTCTCCAATATTACACACATAAGGAAAGATTGGGTAACCTCTAAAGCCTGAACGAGAAAAAGCTTCCAGGAGCTGTTTTTTCAGAAACACCAGCATATATTTGCCAAGGGCAGGCACTGTGTTTCTGCAGGCAGGCGGTGAGCCTTTGACAGGGTTTCCAGGAAGACACATAGCAGCCAGAGTGTTGTGCAGCCCCAACCCTGGCTCCATACAGAGCAAACATGTAACAGATTAAATATTTATCTATTGTCCTGTCTACCTCAATAAAATATCACACTCCTTTAAGCAGTTGCCTTAATGACATTTGTGTGTCTTGGAATGCCGGCCTGTGCTAACAAATTGCATCTGAAGATGTGAAAACATGAAGATCAATAAAAAGAAATGAAAAGTCTGCTTCCTTGATAAAACATCATTTATCTTAATAATGGGTACTTCTCTGAATTTCCTAAGTGCCCTTCCAAATGCCAGTATCAAAGCCAGTGCCCACACGTGTGTAAAAAGTTCAGGAGGGTTCAGGGGAGTTGAGGCAGGAACACAGGCTGCTCAGCTCACGGGGGCCACTGAGGAGAAGCATCATTCTGGGCCAGCCACCCACTGGACTGGTTTCCAATCAAGGAGCTTTCAAGAGGGGATTTCCAAGCATATTTCTGGAATTTCAAAACTTCCAGTGAAAATAATATACAGTTGACCCTTGAACAACAAAGATTTGAACTGAGTGCATCCACTTGTTCATGGATTTTGTTTTGTTTTGTTTTGTTTTTGAGATGGAGTCTTGATCTGTTGCCCAGGCTGGAGTGCAGTGACGCGATCTCAGCTCACTGCAACCTCCACCTCCTGGGTTCAAGCGATTCTCCTGCCTCAGCCTCCTGAGTAGCTGGGATTACAGGCACGTACCACCACGCCTGGCTAATTTTTTGTATTTTTAGTAGAGACAGGGTTTCACCATATGAGCCAGGATAGTCTCCATCTCCTGACCTCATGATCTGCCCGTCTCAGCCTCTCAAAGTGCTGGGATTACAGGTGTGAGCCACCATGCCCAGCCCATGGATTTTTTTCTGCATCTACCACCCCTCAGACAGCAAGACCAACCCATCCTCTTCCTCCTCCTCCTCAGCCTACTCAATGTGATGACCATGAGGATGAGGAGCTTTATGATGACCTGCTTTCACTTAATGAATAGTAAATATATTTTCTCTTGCTTATGTTTTTCTTAGTAACATTTTTTCTCTAGCTTACTTTATGGTAAGGATATAGTATATGATGCACATAATATACAAGATATGTGTTAATTGACTGTGTTCAGTAAGGCTATTAGTATTATAGTTACGTTTTGGGGGAGTCAAGTTATATGCCAATTTTCAGCTGCTCAGGGGTCGCTGCCCATATCATTCAAGGATAACTGTACTTTCATATGAAAGTTGTTTCACCAAACATTGTGAAACATTAAGTGACCTCCTTTTGGTAGACTGTATATAATGTGGTGGGCATAGTAGCAGGTATAGTTCATGCTGATTAGTATGAATTTGGAAAATGTATTATTCCACATCCAGGAAGCTTGCTTACTCCTGCTCCTGCCATTGGTAAAACAGGAGTCCTCCTCTGAGGTGAGAGGGCTGGAAGTGCTGGTCTCCATGGATCAGTGTTCTGGCCTGGTAGGCCCCTTATTTCCTTCCCTCCACACATGCAGCTTTGTTCGCTCTGTCCAGTTCCCCTAGCTCTTCTCAGGACACATTGTGGAGAGGCTGGGAGTAGTCCAGGAGCTCCTGTCCATCAGCAGCAGCGGGTTAGGAGGAGCTATGGGATGCCCACAGGTTGCTGAGACCAGATTGGTGTTGGGGTGGGCAGAGGTTTGATCATCTCTCCTGGTCTCCTCCGTTCCCCAGCCAGAACCATGGTATGACATGAGAAGGGCAGTCCCAGACTCCGTATTACTGATGTAGCTTTCCCCAGAGTTTTCCTACACAGTGGGACATTTTAATAGGTAAATAGCAACCTAGTTTTCAAATGAGAAAAATCAGCACTCCCGATGCCTGCGATCGGATCCTTTTTCTCCCTCACTCTGTGTCCTCTAGTCATGCTGGCTTTCTGCAGCTCCTCTTGGAGCCAGGTCTTCTTGTCTGGGGCTCCTCCTCCGTGCTGCGCCCTGGAGTGGCAGGCTCCTCACTGGAGTAGCTCCACGACTGAGGGGTTACTTTAAAACGCCGCTTTGCCAGAGACTCCTCATGACCTCAAATCTCCATTAGACCTCTTTCACAGATTTTAGTACTTCTCCATCGCAGTCGTCACAATTTGTAACTAACATTGATTCAGAGTTATTTTTCATCTGTCTCCCCTGCTAGACTATAAGCTCTCACTCACCCTTTGACATGCTGCACTCAACACGTACATGCCGAATACATGACTAAATGAAGGCCTGAGTTCAGAGTACTCATTCTAGAAATTTCTCAGGGGACAGACAGGTCCTGTGACCAAACAAGACTGGCACCCATTGTATCCCGTCTTCCCTCACAGAGTCCTAATATGCATTACGTAGGGGGCTCTGAGGTAGCCTCCAACTAGAAAACAAAAAGCCTCAGTAAGCTAACTTTCTTCACCTCATGTTTCCTAAACGTATTTAAATATGACTTTTTTTTTTCATCTAACATTTACTAATATCCTGTAGAATTTATTTTTAAGAGATGCTTTCTGGCAGGATCCTACTGGGAAGACTGATGTTCTCAAGGTCATCCGGCTTGGTTTGGGGGCTGCTCACCCTGTACTGAGCACCCTCATGGCTGCACTGCTGTCGTCGTGAACACACATGCACATATTCACATATGCAGCCACCACTGTAGTAAAGCATGCTATAAGCACAGTTTGAAGTTAGCCTGGGGTTATAGTTTTCAGGGAGCAGAGAGTAAAAAAACAATTACAACTCTGGTATTTGTAAATGTAGCCTTTGTAGTTATGACAACTCATACTGACTTGTCTTTTGGTAAGACTCAAATCTGCAAGTATTTGGGAAGCTGATGTGTGAAGGCAGGTCCCATAGGTGGTGAGTCAGTCTACCTACCCTACCCAGCCTTGCAGCTCTGCAGTTCTCTTGTTTTCAGCAGTTGCAGCAGTTCTCTGTGATTTTCTAATAGAGTTAAACAAATTTTTTTGGGGGGGAAATGACATGCCATCTTGGAATTAGTGAAGATTTCAGGACATATCCCTCTTGCATATCTAGGATGTATTATAAAGGTAAGATTCCTGAGGTGGAGCTGTGTTAAAGGCAGGGGACCTCAAATTAGTTTTGATCAGCCTCCACTTAGGCAGGGCAAAACTGCTTCACCCACCGACTCCATCTAGTCTTATCTTCCAGTGGAAAAATAAATGAGTGATAATTTGTGGGGAGTGGATTATGTATACATTTGTTCTAGCACTGGACTATGGATGATTCCTATTTGAACCACAATGTATACATGTCTTAGAGTCTAGTTATTGAAAAATTACAGCTCCAAAATACTGTTGATGCAAATAAGCTTCAAGTATACTCTGTAGGGTTAACCAAGCAAACCACAACAAAATAAACTGATGATAATGCAAGCTAACAGTAATTCATAATTAAAAAGTACCAATAGGAGCAATTGAAAATTGCAACCAACTCAAGGCAACACTGATGATGTGCTGATAAAGAACCCTTCTACCAGATCAGGCAATGTCATCTCTGTGCTGCACATGTGAAACCGGAGCCTTCTAATATAGCAGGCGAGCACGGCACTGCTGGCAGCTAGACTTTATAGCATAGAATTATAGGGTATGTAGTAACCTTTGTGATGCTTAGTAGATTACTAATGAGTAGTCCTGGTAATATGTAAAAATGAAGCCTTCACCAATCTGCATACAATTCACCATAATATTCCAAAAGAGGACTTAAACACGTTCAGTTGAAGGCACATGAGGATGCCTCTGATAATGTGCCCCAGCCTCTGGTCCCGTACCCCATAGGTTTTAGTCTCTACTTTCGAAATCATTGTGTAGGCAGCCTTTCCTCCTTCGGCTCGGGCTTTTTTCCTTTCCTAGCTCAAGCAGACTGGAGATACGCATTTGGATTTATGAAGTGCTCAGACTGTTATTTTAAAATGTGAAAGGAGTTCTTTTTAATATCCAGGTAATACAATATCCAAGATATAACATTAAGTGGTAAAAAACAATGTGTATGACAGTATGTATGACATCTTACTTATATTTTTAAAAGCCCGCAGATTTTATATGTATGTTTGTGCTTTACATGCCTAGAGTCTCTCTGGCAGTGTGTGTAAGAAATGGATCAAAAGAGTTGCCTCCAGGGAGAGGTAATGGGTGCTGGAGGAGAGAGGGAGGCTTGGGTTTCCCACTAGGTATCTATTTGCGCTTTTTAAATTTCGCACCATTTATGTATTAACCATTAAAAATAACTGAATTTAAATTAAGAGAAAAGAAAACAAAACCCAGTGAGCCTAAAGTGTTGATTTTCATTTTGGTTTCTTTCTTTCTTCTTTTTATTTAAAGATGAAGGTTTATTTTATTTCTTGTTGATTCCTCTTTTGGCTTTCAAAGTCATGGTCATATATTAAGGAGGAGATTCCAGATTCTAAAGTCAAATATCGAGATGAGATGACCGCGTTAGAAAACCAGGCCCAGGACGTGGGATTCTGGGCTGAGTCAAAGAACTCAATCCCAAAACACAATTTTCTGATAAATTAGAACTGTTATTTAAAAACTTTCCTAGTGTTCCAATGTATTTTCATACTGTGTATATGTAAAATACAAAAGGAGCACTCTTAGTAAGGACACTTGTACATTTGTAACTTGAATATAAGAAAAAAAGACCAAAAAAGAGACAAAATTCATAAAGCGAAGCATGTTTAAATGAATGCATTCCTCTTATTTCATCCTGCTTCAGTATTGCTCAAGAAAATTAAGCAATTATTTATCTTGATTTACTACCAGGAATTTTTTAAAAAGCAAAAGAAATATTACACTAATGTTTCCTAATAAAAAATAAAATTTCACTAATTACATAAAAAAGAATTGTATTCTTTTACATAGATCAACACAACACAGTACATTGCCTTTGTATGTTAAATGCTCATTATGCTGAGTGACAATTCTAAGAGCAAAGACATGTAGTTATCTAAATTTTATGGGTCCTGAATTACTGCAGATAGCCAGTACAGTAAGAAATAAGGCTGAAAGGAATGTTTTGGACACTACAGGAGGCCTAACTTTGGGTGGTGTAGATACAGATCAAAATGAATTTCTCAAACCCGAGATTGTCTACCTGGCATATTTAGGAACATTCCATAATGAGATGGATATCAGCACAATGGATGATTTAGCCCAAAGCCTCCGTCAATTGAAGGCTACAAGTGTTGAGTACCACAAGTCCCACCTCTATCTCTATATGTTTAGAGTGCAAATATTTTCCCATGCTTCTCGTCCCCTAGTCACTGCCCACCTACCTCTGCCCCTTCCCTATTCTTACAGGACCTAGCAGGCTGGCACACTAGAGCTCTGTCTTTCAAAGTCAAGTTCACATAGAGGAGATACAAGTAACCACAAGCCCTTGAGTAACCTACGCAAAGAAACTGCTTGGCTTTGGTCTAAATGACTTACATTTTTCCTCGCCTGAATTAGCCGGTAATTACATGTGGACACACTTAGCCAGAATAGTCCAAATGATCAATTAGAAGGCAAAAAGAAGTTCCTTTCTTTAAAGTTCAAGGGTCCCTGTTGAAGAGCCCTACTTCCAAAGCGATGCTCACATGGGCCCGTGCCCAGCTCTCTGCGGTGCCTGAGCATATTGTACATTTGCTTAACGATAATGAATTTAGTACTTATTTTGCAGGAAAATATAGGGCATTTCCATTACATGCAATCAAGCAAAAAGGCTGCAAAATGTGCCACTCCATTAATTCTAAACAGAATCCTTCCCAAATGTCACCCTGAAACCAAAGTACAGAGTTATTATAAATCTGATGGAATTAAGAGTAATTTTCATTTGTACAAAGGATTTGAGGGACATGACTCCTGCCACACACACACTATTAATTGGGTTAAATCCAACTTGCCAATTTCAGTGTGAATCACTAAGCTCTGACCTAGCTTGCCCCAGTGGTGAGATTGGTGGGTTCTCGTCTTTTTGGCTCAGGTGTACATCTGCATGTGCTCGTATGTGCCCACATACACACAATTTGAGAACATGCAAAGAACATATGCAATTGGCTTGTTATAAACATGTACTGTCTACTATTCAGGAATGAATACTTAGGTAATAAAATGATAAAGAAAAGCAAAAACAAAAAAAGCAAAACCTTGATGACTGGGCTCAGAATAGTGGTTACCTTTAGGGAGAAGGGAGAGGTTATGTTCAAAGAGGAAAAAAATGTCAACTTCTGGCAAGTCATTTAACCTCTGAGCCTTAGTTTCCTCATCTGTAAAAGGGGATTGTAACACCTACTTCCATGGGAGTCCTGAAGATTAATGGCCTTGAGTATATCAGAGCAGAGCACTGAGTGTGGTGCCTGACACATAGTTAGCACCCTTTGAAAGGTAACTAGGATCTTTATTTTCATTTCTGGGGACTCTTTTGCCTAAGCTGGTTCCCAAATCATGGAGGGAAATGTGGACCTGGCACCGGGATGGGAACGACCTTCCCAACCTTCATTGTTAGGTTGTCCCCAGGGCCTGGGAGGGACGGGTCAGCCCACTGAGTTATTGATCATTTCCTTCCTAATTTCAATTTCTACCATCTCTGGGTTGCAGCTGGACTTGTGGGAGAGCACAGTGCAAGAGACAGGAATAAGCAGGGTGAGGCAGTTCGGAGGAGGGTCCAGTACGCCAACAGCAAGAGCTCCTGGGCAGTGGGGGGCCCAGGGCAGCCCCTACTCCACGTTGCGGTACTTGGTGAAGAGGTTGTACAACACTCGTAGTGTGGATTTCAGGTCACAGTTGACTATGTCTGTGTAGAAAACAAAAAACACGTTGTTTCCATGGGGCCACGTGTTCCAAAGTTGGCATACACTGCCCCTCCCACCCACCCCTGTGTACCCAGCATGTTCGGGGTGGATGGGTAGAGTGGGCAGCAAGAATTCAGGGCAGGGGGCAGTTAGGGTAGAGGTGCTGGGGCACAGCATCTCCAGATAAGGCCTGACTCTCCCCACAATCCCCACCTGTCCCAGGGGCTCTTTGCCCACTGCCTCCAGCCTCTACCACAGAAGCAACCATGTGTGGTGGAAAGGAGGGGAAGGCCTGGGGCTATAGTGGAGGACAAGGGGGTGAGTTAGGACTCAAGCTGCCTCACAGAAGTGTGCCTAGCAGAGAAGGGCGACTTGCAAGGAGTACTCAGGACATAGGCGTCATGGGGACAGATAGCTTCAGAGCAAGGCAGAAGGGTTTGAGGTGCTAAAACTTCAGCTGGAGGTTCCTCAGCTTCTATGCCACCATTCCCTCTCTCGCTCACTTCCTCCCTCCCTCTAATCCTCCCATCCTCCCTCCTTTCCTCTGATCCTCCCGTCCTCCTTCCCTCCCTCTATTCCTTCCTTCTTTCTTTCCTCCCCCCAGATCTTCCTATCCTCCCTCTTTGCCTTCCTTCCTTTGCAATAGGAGCTTTCCAGGTACAGAAGTGGGCAAAGAATTCCATGTGGAAAGTTTAGTGTATCTTACTAAACCCAGCTATGCTGGAGAATTCCCAACAGGCTAGCATGGCTAGAGAGGTTGGGGTGTGCGGGGCTGGATCCTGAAAGGCCTTGAATTCCAAGTTACGGAGCTTGCCTGATTTTGTAGGCTAGAGGCTGGAAACTGGCAGCTGGCAGGCTAGCTATGACTCACTGACACATTTTGCTTAGCCCTTCCTCCCTCCATCCATTTACTGGTCACCACTTTCTCTGTTCGTCTAACCCTCTGCTGACTCCTCTACCTTCCTCCCTCCCCCAAGAAGACCCCCTCTCTACTCTTGTCCCTTTGCTGTCACTCTCCTAGAGAGCCAACTTTTGAAGAATGGGAGAAGAGAAAACAAAAAAATGGAACTCTGTCTACTATTGAGGAATGCATACTTAGGTAATAAAATGATAAAGAAAAGCAAAAACAAAGCAAAACCTTGATGACTGGACTCAGAATAGTGGTTACCTTTAGGGAGAAGGGAGAGGTTAGGTTCGAAAAGGATGCAGGGCAAGTTGGAGGGAGCTCTTGGGAGCCAGCATGACTCTTCTCTTCGACGTGGGTGGTGGCTGCGTGGTGGCTCACTTGGTAAAAGTTCACTAACCTGTACATTGGTGTTTCATGCACCTTTCTGTATATGTGATATTTTTCACAATAAAAATGATTTAAAACAATTGTATGGGAGGTCAGATGAAGTCGGTAATTAAGAGAAGGTAATATATGCTCTGGGATTCAAAGATGGGAGAAATTACACTAAGTCATTGGGAAAGAAGGTGTAGGGGAAGGCGTCAGGATTCTAGCAATGCTCTGGTCAATACCCACAGGGATCCTGCAAGGGTAGGCAGAGTGGGGAGCCAGGGGCTCCCAGGTCTTAGCCTTGGGACTTTAAAAAAAAGATTCTATTTTTTATTTCAATAGCTTTTGGGGTACAGTGGTTTTCTGTTACATGAATGAACTATATAGCAGTGAATTCTGAGATTTCAGTGCACCCATCATCCAAGTACTGCACATTGTACCTAACATGTATTAGTTTCTTTATCCCTGTCCCTGCTCCTGCCTGCGCCATTCTCAGTCTCTAAAGTCCATTCTATCACTCTGTATTTAGCCTTGGGATTTTTGCAACTGGGACTGGCACAGCCTGGCATGCTTAGGCCCCAAGCTCCAGGCCTAGAGCCCAGGGCCTCTCCTGCCTGTTCCTTCCAGGCCTTATCCTGGTTATAGACCAACCCTGCTCCACCCTGGCTGGGCCCAAGGTCTCCTACTGATAGACCAGGGGCTTCCAGAGACCACTGGCGTGGCCTGGAGCTCACAGCGGCCATTTCTGCTCCCATGGTGGTTCATCACATATCTGAGCCTCCACCTGGGGCCCTGGCCTGAGGCTGAGCCCTGCTACCTTGCCTTGCTCATGCTGAGCCAGGAGTCCCACTCTGAATCACCTTCTGCCAGATGGAATCCTGTGCCCTCTAGGCTGATTCCTGTCCTCCCCGACTGCTTGGTGTTGAGTGTTTCTTAAATTCCACTCAAGTCAAATATTAGGAAGTTACTCCAGGGAGGAACTACTAGAAAGGCAGAGAGGGGTAAAGGTGAGCTTGCCAAGGGAGTGGGTGTAAAGGGGAAGGTAAAGTGGGCCTGGAGCCACTGCAACAGGCTCCTAATGAGCTCCCTTTGCCCTCTCCAATCCACTCTACCTACTGGAGCCAGACCTCCAGGTCTCCAGGTATGGCTGTGCCTCCAGGTATGGCCACCAGGTATGGCTGTGCAGGATGTGCACTGCACAACTCCAAGACACATCATTTACACTTCCAGGTCACCACTGTCATGGACTGCAAGGTAAACAGAGCTCCTTGGAGCTGTGTAGCTCCCAGCTTGTGTGGCCATACAACTATTTCACTTAGAAGGTCCAAAATCCTAAATCATGGCTTTGTAAGGCGTAACCTGACCTGACCTGCCTACCTTTCCACTCTCATTTGGTGCCACACTGCCTCCCTCACTATGTATCACAGTCACTGTGGCTTCCTTTCACTACCCTCCCCAGCCAAATAGCTGGCTCTGAGTCCTCCTGCAGACCTCAGCTCAAAGCACAGGCTCCCGGGCCTTCCTGACCCTGGCCTGGGTGCAGGGGTCCCGTTTTATGTTCTCAAAGCTCCCACATGCTTCCTTCATAGCACTCACTCCAGGTGTAAATCAGCGACTTGTATGCTTATTGATTAATATCTGCCTCTGCCCTGGACTGTAGGTTCCTTGAACACAGAGAACACGGACCCTCCAAGGATATTAACAGATCTATGAATGAATGGTTTCCCAGTGTCTTGGAAGCCAAGGAAAAAAATTCCAGAGAGGGCAGACAAGAGGGCCACATGCTCCCAAGAGGGTGAGGAGGTTAAGGACTGAAAAGAGTTCCCAAGGGACACAGGCCCAGGAGGTGACTTGGGAGAGAGCAAGGCCAAGAGCAGGTGGGGGTAAAGTGTTAACAGCATGGGCAGATCAGAAGTGGAGGCCTGAGCATGGGTCACAAAGGAGGAATTTGGGGGCCCGATGAAGGACAGATACCGACGGCGGCAGGGGTATTTGTTTTCCCTTCTGAAAGATGGGTGAGTTCTGAGGTTGCTAGAAAATGTCCAATATGGCAGAATGTTTTAAACTGGCCATTTTAATGGTTACTAAGTGACATTTTTATGTTCACAAAGGTTTGAAGTTCATCTCCACCACAGCCATGTGACCCTGTCACTTAAATTCTCTGAATCAGTTTTCTCACTGGTAAAATTGGGCAATACCTTTATGAAAAACACCCAGAATATATTAAGCGTCCCCTAAATGGTAGTTTTCTTTCTGTTTTCCCATCTTTGCCCACTAGCAGAGCTGCTGTGTACAGCCGTGCGGTCTGTGCATTGCACAATGCCTGCACCATTCACATGGACTAAGCCCTGCTCCTTGGAAATGTGAGTTGCTTCTTCATCACCTTCACCACTAACACCAACAGATGGGCCGGGTGAATAGGGGAGACAGCAGTCGGAGACACTGCTTATCACCTGTTCTTATCAAGAAAGCCAAGACCTGGGCCCCCAGGTAGTCCCAGGCAGACTAGCAAGCCAGCAGGAGACTGGACTATCTCAGCCAGGAGAAGGGCTGTGGATTCCTGGGAATATATTGTAACTCCATGCCATGTAAACAGAGCCACTTCAAAGCCCTGATCTCATAAATTGTGTGATTAGCAACTCAGTTCAGTTCTGAGAGCCTCTGTGTGCTGGCCCAGGGCCCCTCTCTGGAGGCAGACAGCCAGGGCTATGGGGCTCCTGGTCAGATACACCAGAACAGAGGCTGTCTGGCAGCCTGGGGCCAAGGAAGAGGCGGATGTAGAGATAAAACAGCTTCTGGCCAAGGGGAAAGGGCTTGCTGGTTGCTCCTCCCACCCAGAGGTATTAGTAACCCTTTCCATCAGGAGAGGGCCATCCAAAATGAGTTCATGATTCTCTAAAGGATGCAGAGGCCAAAGGAAGGAGAGGAACTCTCTTCCCAGCAGAAGCATTTTGCACAAAGAGACAAGGCCCTCTGTGGCCATTTGTGACACCACAGTTTCCTTCATCCCAAGGCACTGCTGAAGGCCCTTCTCTGAAGCTTTCCCCCGGGGTCTCTGAATCCCTTGACCAAGGTGGGAGGCCCTTGCTGGCTCAGGGCTGGCAGCTGGTGGGGGCTGGAATCAGGTGGTTACTTATGCTCTAGCCCCCAGCCGATTTTCCAGCGCCTCTGTCTCATCCTGCCTCACATCTCTGCCTGCTCTCTACTCCCCACTGGGGCAGCATCCATGCTGTACAGATGCTCCTTTTGGTGCTCCTACTATCCTATCTAGTGGTAGTTTGCCATTTGCTTTATTTATTTTTAAAAGCTTTTAAGTCATTAAAATTTTTTAAAAATATGACATACATCCAGAAAAAAACCCATGCAACATATACGTACTGTTTTAAATATTTGAAAATGAACTCCTGTCCATGTCAAAAATAGAACATTGTCAGTACCCTAGGAGGATCCCGTCCCCTTCTACGTTCCCTCTTTCATTCCCCAAATATAACCACTGTGCTGACGCTTACGATTACTTTCTTGCTTTTCTTACTAGTCCTAGCATCAACATACGTGCCCTTGAACGGCAGATTCGAAAGCTGCCTCTTTTTATATTTCATAGGATTCATCTATGCTGTTGCATGAGCTGTCTGTTTTTTTAACAGTTTTACTGAGGTATAGCTATAATTATCTAACTATAATTCTATAATGATTCAAGAATAAAGCTTCTTGGCCGGGCAGGGTGGCTCACGTCTGTAATCCCAGCACTTTGGGAGGCCGAGGCAGGCGGATCACCTGAGGTCAGGAGTTCAAGACCAGCCTGGCCAACATGGCGAAACCCCATCTCTAATAAAAATACAAAAACTAGCTGGGTGTGATGGTGGCAGCCTGTAATCCCAGCTACTTGGGAGGCTGAGGTAGGAGAATCTCTTGAACCTGGGAGGGGAATTCCAGTGAGCCAAGGCTGTGCCATTGCACTCCAGCCTGGAGAGCAAAACTCCATCTCAAAAAAAAAAAAAAAAAGAATAAAGCTTCTTGATTGTTGTCTACCTCTGGTAGATTTTCGGTGCTTCAGAATCATTGTTTTTGATCATTTTGTCCAGTTTCACACTTGCTCTTTAGCAGAGAATAGTCACTGATCTCTTTATGCTACAGTAACTAGAAGTTCCTCCCCTGACTTCTCGGTTCAGTCTTTTTATTGTCATGGTTGTATTATAATCCGTGATATGAATATGTTCCAATTTATGTAGCTAGTCTACTGGGATGTACACTCCAGCCCATGCTATCACAGGTATTCTTGGGCTTGTCTCCTGGTGTATGGACATGCATGCCTGTGAGTGGAATTGCTAGGTCAAGGAGTGTGCCAACTTCCTATTACTGCTGTAGTAAATTAGCACACATTTGGTGGCCTAAAAACAACACAAATTTATTATCTCTGAATTGTAGAAATCAAAAGCCCCAAATCCGTCTCACTGAGATAAAATCACAGTGTCAGCACAGCTGCATTTTTTTCTGGAGGCTCTAATGGAGATCCTTACACTTGTTCTTTCCAAGTGGGGGATGGAATAAATTAGGTGGCCATAAGGCAGTTGCTGGTGTTCTGACCCTCTGGGGTTGCTTGCATTCTCTGGCTATAGCCCTCTTCCATCCCCAAAGCCAGCAATGGTTGGGTGAGCCTTTCTTATGCTACATCACCCTCACACTTCTGCCTCCCTCTTCCACTTATAATAAGGACCCCTGTGGTGACATTGGGACCACCTAGATAATGTCATCATCTCAAGCCCCTAAATTTAATAACATCTGCAAAAGTCCCTTTTGCCATGTAAGATAACACATGAACAGGTACTGAGGATTAGGGCCTGGACGTCCAGGGCTGGGGACCACATTATTTTGGCAGGGGGTGTCTACCACATTATTTTATAGCGCGTTACACATCTTCAACTATGTTAGATGAGAACAAACTGTTTTCTACTTTCAGCTAAATAAGGACTGAATAAAAATAAAATGGTTCTAGCAATTTAGAACGCCAGCGGTTTCTGTTGTTCCACATCCTTGCTAACACTTGGTATGATGAGAGTTTTAAATGTTGGCTTCTGTACACTATCTCCTAGGGGAATGGGGGAGTTGAACATTTTCCATATTATCAGCCACTGATCAAGTCTTCCCCGAATGAAGTGATCACCTGGAACTCAGCTGCCATCACCTGCTTGTTTTTTCAGCATTGCTTGCCATCTGGTCCCAGGTATGAGACTCCTTACATTTTAGATATTCGGTCCTACAGACTTCAACCCTGCCTGGTACTAGATGTCTTCTGAGTCCCTGCCTGCCTGTTGTTCTGGAGTCTTAACCATAACTGATGGTGAGTCTACTTGAAGGGTGATAACAGGGTGGACATGTGCATTTGAAGACATGTGACACAATGCCCTAAATAAAAAGCTGCCAGCTGCATGACAATATTTCTTTTTCTTTCCTTTGAGACAGGGTCTCACTTTGTTGTCCAGGCTGGAGTGCAGTGGTGCCATCTCGGCTCACTGCAACTTCTGCCTCCTAGGCTCAAGCGATCCCTTCCACCTCAGCCTCCTGAGGTGGAAAATTAGCCACCACACCTGGCTAATTTTTTTGTATTTTTTGTACAGATGGGGTCTCACTATGTTGCCCAGGCTGGTCTCAAATTCCTGAGCTCAAGCCATCTGCCCACCTTGGCCTCCCAAAGTGTTAAGATTACAGGTGTGAGCTTCCACGCCTGGCCATTATTTCAAGTGCTCCACTGGTTATGAACTTGATGCTAACCCTTGGCTTACACTAACTGAGGTACTAAACGGTCATGAAGCCCGGGCAGCAAGTCATCTCAGATACCAACCCAGTTTCTAGGGGATTTCAAGGCACAACAGAGCTTTAAGTGTTAAACAGCACAGCGGAGAATGCATTTTCCTGACCCTAAAAACATTTTGCCATGAAAAATGCCTCCATCACAACCAGTTTGATTTTGAAATGCCCTCAAAGAATTACCCACATGGGCACCCTTTGAAATGTCTGCATCATTTACTTCCAAATTTCACTTTCCAGGTAGAAGCATAAAAGGCAGAGGGAATGCTGGGATTCACTTCTCACAAAGTACAATTTCATAAAATGCTATTTCCATTCCCCTTTACATACTGGAAATTTGCAGCATGGGCATAATGCCCTGTGTCATAACAAATAAAACATGTGTTTTTCCATCCACATCGGTCAGTTAGTTTCATATTCAGCAACTTAATAATTGCATAAAAATATCACCTATATTCCAAAATATTCCTATAGATTGATTTATGTTGGGAAAATTATCTGTCCCAAGGGAAAGAAATATCCCAATTCTAAAATATCAGAAGTACTTCCAATCTGTAACCAGGAAGTTTCATATTAAGCAGTTCAAGAAAATGGAAGCAAAATGATAGCCGGAACGTTCCCACTGTGTCTGTCCTCCCAGAAGCAGGGTGCTCATCATTTGCCCACAGAACAAGAAGAGTCCATTCCTAATGCTATTAGGAAGGCTGGAGTGGCCTTGCCAAAGAGAGAGCCCCAGGGGGACACCAGCCTCGCCAGAGGTCCTCCCCCAGTTCTCAGTTGACCAGGGGCTTAGGACAAGTTGGTAATAAATGAGAACAGGAGTTGACCTTTGTTGGCCAGAGTCAATAGATAACAAGTCTGGAAGGAGTCATGAGACAGGGTCCTCATTCTTCCCCAGGGGGGACTTTTGCTCATGCTGTCATTCTGTCTGGCATGCACATACTTCTCTCCCAGTCTCCATACACCAAAGCGCTACCTGGTCCTTATGGTTTAGCCCCACTGTCACCATCTCCATCAAAGTGTTCCTCCCCCAAGACAGAAGTGGTATCACCTCCTCAGTCCTCACAGCCTCTTCCTTGTACCTCTTTCGTAACAGTTCCCATGACTGTCATTTCATTTTGCTAACTGGCTGCAACTTGTCTCTTCCCTGATTGGCTGCACATGCCTTGAGGTTCAGGAAGGTCTTACCCCTCTCGTTATATCATGATCTACAGGGTCTCAAGCCCACTAGACCAGGGCATGGCCCCCACTAGGTGGGGGTTTGGATAGAGGAGTTCAGAGCAGAGGCAGCAAGGGGCCATGAAAGCCCACCATCCCTACTCATCCACTTGCCTGTAAACTACCAGAAAAGTGCAAGCAACCTTTTGCCACAAATGGCATTCTCAATGTTCCCAGGGGACATATGCAGATCATCTGCAACAACAGTGGTGACTCGCCAGCTCTGGTGAAATGGAATACTTCAGTCAGTAAGGGGCAGAAAGCGAACATCTGTACCAAGAAGACTACTAAGAGAAGTGTGCCTCCTCTGCTCACGAATGCACGTGTGCACTCCTAGCATGAGTATGCAAGGGCTGCAGGAGCACTTGTTCCTTCCGCATTTCCCCCCAGTCTTACATTTACAACCCAAACCCCACAAATCATGCCTTGTCCTCAGGCAGAGTCTGAGCAGGCAGAGCTCCGCATCTGTCAGATAGTAGTTCTGCTCAGCCCAGAACTGTCTGCATTGCACCTTCACCCCGACTTGCAGGGACACATCTCTTTGGCAGGTCATCACCCTGTGCAGGGACAGAAAGACCTGGAAATTGGGCACAGGACAGTTCCTGCAGCAGCTCTTCTGCTTGGGCCCTGATCCCTGCAATCCCATGCAAGGCATGTGTGGGATTTTAGATTCTTTTCTTCCCCTGGCTGTGCAGCTGGCAGCTCACAAAGGGTCTCTGGGACTGAGCAGCTGCACCGAGTCCCACCTTCCCCAGCAATGAAGACTTCAGAAAATGCTTCCCTCTGCTACAAAATCTGAGTACCCGTGTGCAGGGAGAGGGTCTCTGTTGTCACAAACCCAGGAAAGAGCAAAGTACCTTCTGGTCGTGGTTTTGGCTTTTCCAACCCTCCGTCTTGCATGAGCTCAAAGGCAAAGGAGACATTCAAGACCTGGCAAGAGAGATGCAGACAACATGTACCATTGCACACCCAGGAGCCCCGGGACCTGGCTCTGGGAAGTGAAGGAGCCCAGCACTGTAGCCAGTGGGGCAGAGGCTGAACTAATTTCAAGAAGAAATATGGCTACCAAAATGGGCAGGCCACCTGGAGCGTGAGCTAGCTGATCCTAGCTTGCTGTTGGAGAAGCACTCCTGGAGAAGCACAAAACTCCCTTCATATCCTACTGTGTTCCTGTGTAAACTGCCAGAACTTCAAACTGGGGGTGTCATTGCACACGTTTGGAAGAATCAGATGGCAGGACATGTTCAACAGGCAGAGCAGGCTTTCTGCTGTGGACCAAATGCCTTTGTGTAGCGAGCAGGATGTGGCAGCCTACGAGAGGCCATCAGAACTAGGCTAAGCATGAGCCTCAGGTCTGACCAGCTTCACAGTCACTTTCCTTGTCACCTCTGGGGAGACAGGAGGCTGGGCTGGGACACTTGACAGGAACACAGGGCAGGGGACCAGGGCCAGACTTCAGGGGAAGGGAAAGGCAGTCAGGGATGCCCAGTGGTCTGCAGGTAGCTCCTTCCTAGCTCAGCTCTTATAATGGGCCCCACCTCCAGGCACTGAAGACCTTGGGCAGAGGGGAGGCTTCTGCCTTTTTTGTGGATAGCCGCAGTGTGGGTGTGGGCAGATGAGTCGGGGGATGTGGGTTAGGCGGCCTCCCTGATGTCCCTTCTCCTTACCTTCTGTTCAAAGCTGTCCGGGGTCAGGAAGAAGCTGTGCAGGGGCACAAAGTAGCCCTCCAGGAGCCCCATGAGCAGCACCAGGTATACCCCATCTGCAAACTGGAGGAAGAGCCAGGTGATGCACTGGCCCCTAAGCCTCCCAGCCAGTCCCCATCCAGGAGGCCCATCAATGTCTGTGCTATGCCACCTGAAGCCTACCACCCCAGGCAGGCTGCTAGCTGGGGGGTAGGGGCAGTGGCCCGAGACAAGGAGGTCTGCTCTGCCCCACGTCTGGCTGGCCCAGCACAAGAGCCACAAGCCCAGGCCCTGATCTCAGCTGACCCAGCATTGACTGAACAGAGGCTGTGTACCAACTCCTGGTCTAGGCATGGGGACCAGAGCGTGGGGAGTCAGTGTGGCTCCTGCCCTGGAGGAGTGCACAGTCTAATAGGGAAACTGGTGTGGGGACAAGGCACAGCTGCTCTGATGGAAGGAAGCTCGCTGGCCTGAGTGAGGTTGAAAGGTCGCCCATAAGCACTGAAGGCATCAGAGGAGTCTTCCGGAGAGGACGGCGCCTGAGTGGAGAGCTGAGGATGAGCAGGATTGGCTAGAGTGGGGCAGAGGGAGGAGGGAGAGGCGATGTCTAAGGTGAATGGCATGAGGCTCCTGGGGTGATCTGTGCTTTCTGAACAGAGAAAGGACTAGTGTTGCACAGGCCTGGGCATTCTTTCTCCCATGTCTCTTCAGTATTACAGCAGCGGAGTGCAGCTGCTATGAATGTGGGCTCTGGGGCCAGGTCTCCCCGGTGCAAATTCCAGCTCTCTCACCTACTAGCTGTGTGCCTTGGGCAAGTTATGTCACTTCTCTGTACTCATATGTCTTATCTGTGAAACAGGGATGGTAATAGTATAGTATCTACGTCACAGAGTTATCGTGAGGACTAAGCCAGTTAATATGCAGAGAGGGCCTGTCAACTGCTGGGCATGTAGCATTGAATAAATATTAAATATTGCTATTACTATCTGGGAAAACAACAAAGCAGTCAGGACATGACTTACTGGCTCTTCCTGGCAAAAGCAGAACTATGTGCTGAGGGCCCTGGCAAGAGGCTTGCAGCCCGGTCCCTTCCTAGGCAGAAGAGGCCAGAATGGTTGGGAAACCAGGCCCAAGGGACAGGAGAGTCCCTCGGCTAAGTGTGGAGGCTGCTGGTCTTCTGCTCAGGGCTGGGTGAGGTGAGCATATGCTGAGCACTCAGGACAGGCTTGTGGAGGCCATGGAGGCCAGGGATGATGGACCTTTGGAGGAGCAGTGGTTCCAGGTGTGGGGGATGGCCTAGCAAAGACATAGAGGTCAGATGCACATCCGACATTCTAGAACCCTTTCAAAGGAGGCTGGGCCACCACATGTTTATGAGTGTAAATAGCTACTAGGGTTCACAGAGGCCAAATTTCTTGGAATCACCTTAGGAGCCCAGAGTCTGCTCAGAGAGCTTTCCAGGTAGCCAGCTGGCCGGCCTGTGGCTCAGCCTTCATTAAGGGCATAAGACCCTGAGCTTGGGCTTGCCTTAAAGGCAGCTCCTGGCCAAGTGTGGTGGCTCATGCCTGCAATCGCAACACTTTGGGAGGCTGAGGCGGGCGGATCGCTTGAGCTCAGGAGTTCAAGACCGGCCTGGGCAACATGGTGAAACCCTGTCTCTACTAAAAATACAAAAACATTAACTGGGTATGGTGGTGCATGCCTGTAGTCCCAACTGCTCAGGAGACTGGGGTGGGAGGATCACCTGAGCCTGGGAAGTTGAGGATGCAGTAAGCTGTGATCGTGCCACTGCACTTTAGCCTGCATGACGGGAGTAAGATCCTGTCTCAAAAACAAAAGGGTAGCTCCTCCTACCTTCCATCCATCAGGCCTACAACTCAGGTGGGAATGGCCTGAGCATGACTCACCCTAGGTGGACACGGGAGAGCAGACCCCAGAGTCTGTCAAAATCAAGGCACTTCTGGTGGGAGCTGAGCTTTATTCGAGCTGTGGTGAGGAGGAGTTAGGAGTAAAAGAATCCAATCTGTGAACTCAGGGGTGACCTTGGGTTAGGGTTGGGGTCATTCACAGCTCTGAATGCCAGGCTTAGACTGCTCCTCACCTCCCATGGCTGGTTCCACTAACTTGGTAGGAATAGCAGATAAAACTGCAGAAACCCAAAGTGCTTGGCAGTGACCTCTGTTTTAGCACTCCCTGCCCTTGAAAAATGAGCTAATCATTCCAGGGCCCATTCTAGCTCACTAAAGGAAGCGTCACTTTTCCAGAACGTTCCTTACTTCCTACAAGAGTACATGAAGCTCATTTCACACAGTCTAGACACACTTAGGTGGAGCTCAGTGACAGACTGGCATTTGCCTTTAAAATAAAAGGAGGTACCCAGACGATTGAAAGATAAGCACAAGGCAGAAGCTCACCAAGAATGAAAGGAGGTGGGGAAACAGGATTCATCTCGCTCAAAGTATCTCCCCAATAAAGATTAGTTAAGTATAAAGAGGGGAAAAATAACTTTATAATAGGGAAATCCGGTGAATACCACCCTAACCAAATAATCCAAGTTATCACTAGCAGTGGGGCTGATGGACCGAGTGCCTCCTCCTGGGATGACGCAGGAAGAACAAAGCCTTACATGGGGAGTGCTGTTAATGAAAATGATGACCTGAATCTAATATGCAGGGAAAAGACAGTCTATAAACCAACTGGCCTGAACGCTTCAAAAAGTGTCAATGCCACGCCAAGAAAGGCCAAGGAGTTGTTCTATGTTAAAAAGACACTAAAGAGACATGACAAGTAAATGCAGCATGTGAGCAAACTGGACAAGTGGCAAAATCTGAACAGTGTTTTTTCCAACCACATGACGTTGCCATTTTAGTAGGTTAAAAACAGTCGGCTGGGCGTGATGGCTCATGCCGATAATCCCGGCACTTGGGGAGGCCAAGGTGGGTGGATCACCTGAGGTCAGGAGTTCGAGACCAGCCTGACCAAAACGGTGAAATCTCGTCTCTACTGAATACAAAAAAGTAGCCGGGCATGGTGGCACATGCCTGTAATCCCAGCTACTTGGGAGGCTGAGGCAGGAGAATCGCTTGAACCTGGGAGGCAGAGGTTGCAGTGAGCCAAGATCTTGCCACTGCACTCCAGCCTGGGCAACAAGAGTAAAACTCTATCTCAAAAAACAAAACAAAACAAAACAAAAAACAAAAAACAAGTCGAATGTCAGCAATTTCATATGATTCAATCTAAACAGATTAATGTATTGTATTATGTTAAAACGGCCTGTCTTTGATAACGTATTGTGGCTATCTAAGAGAATGTGCTTGTTCTTGAGAGACGTATGCTCAAGCATTTAGGGGTGCAGAGAAAGGTGTGGCCAAACACTAACAATCGGTGCATCCAGGTGAAGGGTATATGAGTATTCATTCTTGTACCTTTTCACCATAAAAATTTGGAAAAAAATCCGCAGAGATTCAGTCCACCCCTCAGAGTAGGACAGATTCCCATGCCCTCATCCCCGTCAGCTGGGAAAGCCCTCCTGGCCATGTGTGGTGGACCACTTGGAACAGGGGCTGTAGGGCAGGGCCCTGCCTCCACCTGTGCTAGGGTCTGTCACCCACCTGGGTTTCCAGTTCTGTGACCTCCAGGTTCAGTTTATTCAGGTGCTTATTCACGAAAGTGATGAGTGTCTAAAAGAGAAGCAAAGCAGACCCAGAGCTGGGGATTTGCACTAGTGCAGGAGCCCGCGGCTGCCCCATGACTCCCATGAAGGTGAGGGCGAGGGCGAGGGCGAGGGCGAGGGCGAGGGCGAGGGCGAGGGCGAGGGTGAAAGCACGGGATCAGGCCCAGCCAAGAGACCCGGGCCCAGAAGGTCTCTCTGCAAAGGCCCTTGAGTGCACAGGGAGGGCCACAGGCTCTAGGTCTTGCAGTCCCATACAACTCAGGGTGTGTAAGGAACAAGGAGGTCCCAAGAGGCAGAATGACAGGTGGAGTGTCTGAGTGGGGAACTGAGGTAAAAAGATTCCACTGGGTCTCTCCATCCTGTCCTTTCTTTGGCACACGTGCCTAGGCCAGGGAGACAGGGAATTCTGTGAGGAGCGGGGAAGACTGGGATTGCTGGGGTTAGCCTGGGTGGGAAGACAGGCTGCTCGTGCTGATGGAGAGGAAAAAGCCCGGGTGCAACATTCAGTAAGGAACAGACAGGTACATGGATGACAAGGGGGAAAGCCGCCGTGTGTGTGCAGAGATTAGGAGATGCCACCAGTTCCAGCAGGAAGCTCTCGAGCTGCAGGGATGGGTTTTCCCAACGTCCTGCTGCATCTCGCTTCCCTCTCTCTGTCCTAGACACCCCTTTCCCACCTTTTTCACCACATTCAGCTTGTCTGGGGCGTGGTCGAACAAAGTGTCAAAGGCATCACGTTCTGAAAAAGAGGGAAACACAACATGGAGCCCAAGAGCCGGTTCCTGGCAGGGAAGCCCACCTCGGGCCCCAGAGCCACAGGCCTCTCAAGGTCACAAGGTCAACGACTGATGGGAAGCCTCTGGGGTACAGACTGCTGGGAACTCTGGAATGTGATTTGGGACTAAGATTTGGGGGGCTTCTCACCCTGGGAGCCTGTGTCTGTGTCCATGCACATGTACATTATTGGGTTGGGGCAGACTCAGGGTTCTCTTAGGCAGTGTGACCCCGGATTAGTCATTTCCCTTCACTGTATTCCATTATATCCCGATTTAGCTATTGTTCAGGTGTTTCTGAACCTCAGTAGAAGGGGAATGTTATCCAAATATTAAATCATTTCACCCCCCAATTTTCAAAAACAGGAGACCCATGACAAACAAGCTGGCAGAGGGCACAGAGAAGAGGGCTGGGAGCCAGGGAGCTCCAGGATGGGATATGAGCTCTTCCTCTTAAGTGATCTAGGCCACTTCAACTCTTTGTGCCTTAGTTTCCTCTTCTATAGAATGTTATTTTAAAAATAACCCTCCCTTAGGTTTGTCATGAGGATGAAGGGTGAGAACAAGCATGCGCGCGCTCTGTAAACTCCGACATGGTCTCCTGAAGGGAGTAATTTTTAGCATGGTTGAAATATTTCAAAATATTACCCACAGTAAATATCAGGATCACAGAAAACAGCAAAGCCATGCTCCCTGCAGGGATTCTCCTTGCTGCAGCCTCTATGTTAGGAGCTGCGATGAGGGAAGGAAGAGAAGACAGTCTCTAGAAGGACAGAGTGGTGAGAGGGGACAGTCCCTGTGTTCGTGCATGTCTTCCTTTATTTGCATGAGATAATTAGTGCAAACCTGCCCTGAAAATGCCCAGGACCCATCCAGAAGCCTTGGGCAAGCTAATGAATCTTTCTGGGCTCCAGGTCTCTCATCTCTAAAATGAGGATAATGACAGTAAATATTTTAGTGGGATGTTATAAGCATTAGATGATTTAATATCTAGAAATACTTTAGCATACTTCCTAGGACATAGTAAATGCTCAAAACATTTTTTTTCTGAGGGCACTTTTGGTTCTCTTTATGATTATTATATTGGTTTATCCATCTGCACACCTATCATTCACTAAATAAGCACTTGCAAGTAGTGTACTGGAAAGAATAATAAACTTGGAGTTAAGTGCTGGATAAACCAAGATCATAATCTCCTCCCTCACCCTTGGGCTGTGGGGTCTCAGGGAGTATAATCGTGGCTTCATATGTTTACTGTGAACAACAATAGCTACAAAAGTGCTTCATAAATGGCAAGGTCAATGGCCTGATAAATTTCAAGAAGACTGCGCAGGTGTAGGTAGTCTTCTTCCCACCAGTAAGCTGTCCCTCCCAACCCAACTGGCCATGTCACCCAGGCTGGTGCAGACATATATCCAGGTGGCAAGCTGAGGGCCTGTTCTTCCCAGCTGCTGCAGAATTAACTAAAGCCCCAGTGCAGCCACCAGTGCCAGGGGACATTCTTATGCGACTTACCATGCCTCCCGGAAAGAGCCCTGGAGGAAAAAGAGAAAGAAAATAGTGTGACTCTTTTCTTGTCCCTTACAAGAGGCCAATCCTCTGAAGGGACACTCCATCACTGCTGGAAGCCCACCCCATGCTGCCTGCTACCCACCTGCCCTTGGTTGAGGAACTCAAAAAGCCTCCTTCCATTGACATTTTATTCTGCACGGCCTCCAATTATTGAGACTTTACCACATTACCACCCATTTTTCCCCCTGTTACACGGACATAGTGGTGTAATGCAAAATCTGGCACAGTGATGCCCAAAGGATTACTTTTTGCCTTAAATAAAATCATATTATTGCTTGTAGTTAAAGAATATCGGACTCAGGGGGCTGAAGATTTCCAACCAGAAAATCTTAGGATTCTTATGAGTGAGCTTAGGCAACCCCTCAATGTAGAATTTTACTGCCTAGGTTGCTGTGGGCAGGTCAGCTTTGTCTCTCTCCTGTCCATCCTGTAGTACCCACCAAGATGCACCTGCCATTGACCCAGGGTAGGTTTTCTCAGAGTGCAGGAACTGGAACCACACTCATAGCAGAGAAGCAGCATGGTATCAAGAGCACAAGCTTTAAAGACAGATCATTGAGGTTCAAATTGCACCGAGTGATTGAGTGATTTTTTTGCTGTGTGACTGATACGGTTTGGCTGTGTCCCTACCCAAATCTCAACCTGAACTGTATCTCCTAGAATTCCCACGTGTTGTGAGGGACCTAGGGGGAAGTAATTGAATCATGAAAAGACTAATTGAAACTGGTCTTTCCCATGCTATTCTCATGATAATGAATAATTCTCATGAGATCTGATGGGTTTATCAGGGTTTCCTCTTTTGCTTCTTCCTCATTTTCTCTTGCCACCACCATGTAAGAAGAGCCTTTTGCCTCCTGTCATGATTCTGAGGCCTCTCCAGCCACGTGGAACTGTAAGTCCAATTAAACCCTTTTTCATTCCCAGTTTCAGGTATGTCTTTATCAGTAGCGTGAAAACAAACTCATACAGTGACCTTGGGCAAGCTAATGAACCTTTCTGGGCACCAGGTCTCTCATCTCTAAAATGAAGATAATTATGGTAAATACTTCAATCGGATGTTGTGATTATTAAATGATTTAATATCTAGAAATATTGCAGCATAATTCCTAGTATGTAGTAAATGCTGAAAACACTTTTTTCCAAACACATTTTTGGTTCTCATAATGATTATTATATTGGTTTATCCATCTGCACACCTGTCACCCACTAAGTGAGCACATGCAAGCAGTGCACTGGAAAGAAGAATGAACTTGGAGTTAAGTGCTGGATAAACCAAGGGCACAGTTTCCTTCCTCACCCTTGGGCTGTAGGGTTTTAGTGGGTGTAATCATGGCTTCATGTGTTTACTATGAACATCAATAGATAGGAAAGTGCCCCATAAATTGTACTGTGTTGTCATTATTAGGACATTGCATCCATGTTTATGTCTTTGGGGCAGAGAGAGGGGCCATAGAAAGCATAACATGCATCCGAGAGATTATTCAATAATCCGAAACTTCACACTCCCTGGTTTGGGAGTTTCTCCCAGGCCATGCTCCTCTCTGCTCTGTTGTCTTCTTTCCCAGAGGTGAAATAGTGGGCACAGGCAAGCCCAGCATGGGGGAGGGGTGGTGGGCAGTGGGACAGTGAGGAATTCTCCTTTCCCAGCAGGCCTGGCTCCTCCCATCCCTCACAGAACCAAGGCCAAGGTATGCCCTATAGATCAGTTGACCCTTTGGCTACCAAGACTGGCCTCTGAGGTGATACGGAGGCTGCTTGATGGGGTCTCCATCGGCCATAAACAGGCCATCTTGGGAAAGGCCACTCTACATCTCTTGCCCCTAGTCTTGGCCTGGAATGCCCATGTGCCTTAGTCCTTGTTAAGCCACGTACACAATGTGATCTAGATGGGCAGTGCCCCGGACTCCTGTGGCAGCCATGGCTGTGGAGAGGGCGGGAACCTCCTAGAGACTGGATGGGCTTGGGAGTTAAGGGTCAGTTGTGCTGGAGAAAAGCTGGAACAGCAGCTTCAGAGGGTAAAGGAACAAAGTCACAGCTGTGACCACAATAAATCCTCCCTACCTCTCTGGGTGGGGAAACTGAGGTCAGAGAGGTTAAGGGACTCACCTGGTGAGCAAGTGGCAGAGCCTGGATTTGAACTCAAGTTGGGTTGGCTTTGCAGCCTCTGCTCTTTGCACTACGCTGCTCTTGTTGAAGGGGGCCTCAGAGAAAAGTCTGGGGAGCAGGGGTGCTGAAAGCTAACTGCCTGGCTTTGCATGGGCCAGGGCTCAGTTCTTGTGATCACAAACTTACCTCACACTACCCATTTTTTCCTGCTTGAGGACAAAACTCCTGTTCCCCAGGGCAAACTTTTGATAGGTTCTAATATCCCAATTTCTAAAAATAAATGGGGAAAAAAACCACCCTAAACCAAAAGACAACTCTAAGGTAGAGAGGCTTTCTGGGTCATGGCACGTGACCAAATAAATCGATTCAAAAAAGGAAGAAAAACGTCCTTTTGAAGGTTAACAATTTAAATTCAACCCAGTGTTTATAGCATGACGATTTCATGCTGGGTTGGCTTTTTTGGGGCACACTTTTTCCTGGAGTGGCACAAAATTAGAATTTTTCAATCACTGCTAATTCCCTCTCCCCACTTCCCCACCCAAGTTTGTACCTTAAGCATTGAGAGGCATGTTTTGAATGCATGGAAAAGGCTAAACTATAATCATTGGCTGAAGTCTAATCCCTCCTGCAATCCCAATAAATGAAAACTAAATATCAGCAAATGGATGAATTTCGGAGAAACATCTGTGTTCCATTACAGAATCGCTGGCAACAATGGTGTTGACATACTCTGTGTTACCAGTTATTTCCTCTTGGATTTGCCGAGACTGGAGGATTCCTTCTCGTTTCTGAAATGGGGGTGGGGAAAGGGGTTGGGAGGAGAAGAGAAAACTATGCTTTAGAAAAATACAGAAACACTGATGAGCATTCCTGACATTGAGAAAGTTACTGGTGTTTAAGAAATGTACCCGAGATAAGATAATGCTGGAAGTGAAAGGAGGTCCCGATTTTCTGGGACTGGACTGAACCATTAGGACGCAAGTGCAATTAGTGTTTAGTCCAAACAAGTAGGCTGTTTCTTGGATGGTGAATCTTTCCTTTCTTTATTGGAAGACATTCTGCTGGAAGCAAACTGTTTGCCTCCTGGAGTAATCCACAATAAACCAAATGGAAATGAAGGCCAGGGTGTGTCTGCCCTCCAGCTGGGGCCACAGAGGGAAGCTGAGAAACACATTTAACTGGGGGGCTGGGTGGAGGAACTGAGGCCAACTCAGGGAATTCAGACAAGAGAGAGAGGGTTTTTTTTTTTTTCCTTAACTGATAAGTATGGGAGCTTTTAAATAAGGAGTACAGTTGTCACTCAGGTAACTAGCTTATTCTCTGAGAAAAGGTTAAGTATGTTAGAAACTCATCCGTCCATCCATCCATCCAACCATCTGTCCATCCGTCCATCCATCCATCATCTGTCCACCCTTCTCCCATCAACTTATCCTCTTTCTTGTTTAGTTCATTAATCAGTGCCTTCTGTGTATAAGGCCCTGTGCTGGAGTTAGAACAAATACTATGGAGTATATGATATAGTTTCTGCCCTTGAAGAGCTTAGAGTCAATCGGGGTAGATGAAGTAGACACCTGAATGGTTTCCCCAAAACAGTCCTGGTTTATCCCCCTGATGTCCCAGCATATTAGTAAGATTCGCTTTCATCTCAAAAGTGTCATGAATAATAGATTACGTGGTCACCCTCTGCAGAAAGTGCTGAACGTAGGCCAGGAGCAAGCACTTTTAGCTAGAATGGTCAGAGAAACCTTCCAAGTGGAGGGGGCGCTGGAGCTGGACACTGAGAAGGGGTTATTTCAATGGGAGGAATGGCCCCAGCCAAGAGGCAGAGGCAGGATGCACAAATGTGTTCCAGAGGCCCTCCGGGGGAGGGCGGCCGCCACCAGTCGGGGCAGCTCTGGGTGCCAGTTTGGAGGGTTTAAATAGCACTGTGTGGGCATGGGAGCTGATGAAGGAGGTAATGTTGGGGTTCGGGAAGACTTTCTGATGGGTGTGAGGTGGGAGATTCATCCTACTAGGTCCCTCTACCACCAGCACCAAACACCTGGAGGATGCTGTGACAGAGCAAGCACTGACAAAGCAAATGCACCTTCCCCAAGGCTGAGATGAGTGTGAAGAAGGAAGGAGCCTTTGCACATGGGTGGCTCACCTGAGCCCTGCCTTCTCGAGCCTCCTGCCCAAAGTTCCACAAACAGCCACAGAACCCAGCATCCTTGCAAAATACTTTTACAGAAGAAAGGAAGAGCTGGATAAGGCCAAGAATCTATCTGGCTTAGATTAAGAATGGACTGATCAAAACAAAAAAAGGAGGTAAAAGAAAAAAAAAATCAATCATTTAAAGAGGACCAGGTGAAGATAAATCAGGACTTCTTTCCACATGCACTTTCAACACAGGCAATGTTTTCATGTGGGGCTAATGGAATCTGTGTCCTTGTCCTGCATGGCCATTCAGAGATAAAACCTTACCTCCAACTTTATGCAAAATTAAATGCTTCTGCATAGAATGGAAAAGAAATCTGGGTTAAATAACCCCTCACACAGCATCGTGATTCACCTCCACCCATTATTTGTTCTCTAAAGAGTTCTCCTTGTGGTTCAGTCTGTGACTCACCACCAATTCTGAGTCTTGCTTCTGTGCCTGTTCAACTTGATAAAGCAAAAACACCCCATAAAACCTGACGTGCATTAATGCCATTTTATGGAACATGTCCTCTTTTCTCCCTCATGCTAACAAAACAGCCTACAGGAGAAATTAAACCGACAACAGCCTTCTGATGGCCTATAATTGAGCTCAAAATAAGGCAGGAGACAAGGCTTGCAATGACCACTCTTTCAAAATAGAAGAGCCCTCTCTCCTGCTCACATTTTCAGTTGTTGTTCAGTCTGTAGTAATTCCAACAGGCAGATTTTATTATTTCTGTTAGAGGCTGTTTATTCTAGCAGATAAGAAAAGTCTTAAGATGTTCAACAAATTTATGCACAAAGAACTGGACTGGATTTGTCACAAAAGAGAAGATAAAGAAGGGCAATTTAAATAAAAGTATTTATCTCCTCTAGTGATAAGAGAGCTAGTATAAATGAATATAACAACAGTATGTTTACTTATGAAAATAATTTTTTTTAATTTCAATGTTAGTGATATATGGTCACTTTTAAAGTATTCTTTCATGAACTGTTCCAGGAACCCTGATTTAAAAAAAAAAAAAAAAGACTATATTTTCCAGAGCAGTCTGAGGTTCACAGCAAAATTGAGAGGAAGGTACAGACGTTTCCAGAGATTTCCTATATATTCCCTGCCCTGACACATACATGGCCTCACCCACTTTCAACATCCTACACCAGAATGATACACTTTTAACAGCTGATGAGCTTATAATTGATACGGTTGTCACTATCACCCAAAGTCTATAGTTGACATTAGGGTTCACTCTTGGTGCTGTCCATTCTATTGGTTTTGACAAATGTACAGTGACATGTACCTAAAACTCTCTGTGCTCCCACCTATAGGGACCATGTTCACCTATTCATCCCTGCCTCCCTAATTGTACTTCTTAAAAACATAAAGAATTGTATTCACGCATTACTGACTGGTAAAAATAACACAATAGAGATGACCTGGACTCACTAGGAAGATGCTTGAACCAGAGTACTCTGAGTTGGCCACATATCCATAGCAGACATAAAATGCTTAGTGCCATGTTTGATACAACTGAAGAGCTCAATAACGAGGATAATTAGGACCTTTTGGCCAGTGGCAGTCAGTATCTGAGCCATACACATTCCCATTTTCTATGAGCCCTCTCTGCTTCTTATTTGTAGTCCTATCTCCTCGGCAGGCAGGGCCGAGGTGTCATATTCCTGTTATACCTTCTTGATGCTTAGTGGAGTTAAGTACCCAGAGGTGTGGAAGAAACAAATCCGTTAATCGACGGATAACTGATCAGTCGATTAAGGAGGACCATTTCCTCCTCTCCTCCTGTTGACAGCTGATCCCTGAAAGTTCAACTCAAAGGCCTTTTGTCTTGGAAACTGGCCTGATCTGATCGGGCAAAGTCTACCAGCCCTCAAGGCTTTTTCTCACCAACGGATGGCAGAGCCACTGTTATCATTCCCTATTCCAGGGCCTGGATCGCCAGGGAGCTGCTTAGATGGAGCACTCTCCCTCGCTGCATGTTTATTTGGAAAAGAACAGAAACAAGCAAACAAAAGGATGACCTTTTGCTAAATGGGTATAAAGTTGGAAAATAAAATTGAATTTGGGTATTTAATGGGGTTAGGAGCAGAGTGAGATAGTCACAGGGAGAGAGCACACCCTCATTGTGGAAATTACACAGCCATATGTGAATGGAAATTCCATCCAACAATCTGGAAAAGATGACTTGAGATCCCAGCTGTGCTTCTGTGGGTGGGTGAAAAGTGGCAGTGCCTTCAATACAGACATGGCCAGTTGGGGTCTCTCTCAAACACATGCATATGTACACACACACTCCCTTGTATGCACAGATATCTTTCTCTCCATACCTAAGTATCATTTGTTTAACCAAAATAGTATGGTTCTCCATGATTTGCAGGGCACCTGTACACTCCTGTACACACACTTTCCTCCTGACCCCATGACACACAGCACACATACATACCACACACCCTCAACTACACGTTACACAGAAAACTCACAGACAAAAACACATAAGCCATAGGCACATACCCCACACAAAGCTATCTATACACAAGCACACGCTCTTCCATCTTGTATACACTTACCAGGGGAAGCCAACACGCAACAGAAAGCTCACTCAGTGCCTCCAAATATACTGCACACCCAGGCTCACTCAGCCTTCATGCAGCCATCCTTCTAATGACCTACTCGACGCACCACAGGAACTCCACCTCCACGACTCTTTAAAGACACAGATGTTTGTAGTGTTATCTGTCTTACCTGGACCACAACCACTTGGATGGAAACATGGTCTGGGAGTCGAATTGGTGCCCGGAAATACTGAGACAGAGCGACGAGCAGGTGTAAGATGGCCACCAGGCTCTTGGCATGAACAGCTGAAATGAAAGAAGATTGAAAAATTACAGTATCTTCTTATAGGTTCTAGGCAATATAAGCAGATGGTCAAAGTGTAGCAGTACCCCACTGATAGAGTTTGGATATTTGTCCCTGCCCAAATCTCATGCTGAAATGTAATCCCCAGTGTTGGAGGTGGGGCCTGGTGGGAGGTATTTGGATCGTGGGGGTGGATCCCTCATGAATGGCTTAGTGCCATCCCCTTGGTGATAAGTACACTCGTACTCTCACATGTGATTTGGTGGTTGAAAAGTATATGGCACCTTCCCGCCACCCACTCTCTCTCTTGCTCCTGCTTTTGCCATATGAAGTGCCTGTTCCCACTTTGCCTTCTGCCATGAGTTACAGGTCCCTGAGGCCTCCCTAGAAGCCACGCAGATGCTCGCCAATTAAACCTCTTTTATTTATAAATTACCCAGCCTCATGCCTTTCTTAATGGCAATACATGAGCAGCCTAATATATTCACCCAATGTCCCTTTATACCATGCCTGAGGGTCAGGGGACACCTGTGGTCATCACAGGCCTCACTGTGGGTCCCCTCAAATCTTTCTTACTTTTGAAGCAGGGTCTTGCTCTGTTGCTTAGGCTGGAGTGCAGTGGCACAATCCTAGCTCACTGCAGCCTTGAACTCCTAGGCTCAAGCAATCCTCCCGCCTTGGCCTTTGTGGAGTAGCTGGGACTACAGGGATGTGCCACCATGCCTGGCCCCCTCAGTTCTTTGCCAGGTCCCATGGGGCTCCTTCTTGGGTCTATTATTGCCACATTTCCAATGTAGCACCTCTCTAATCCCAGGTTTCCATCAGGACCCTGACAACTGCTGAGTTCTGAGCTCAGATCAGCTCTCGCCTAGTCCCATGACCCTGCCCACTCCACTCCAATCACCATAAGCATGTCTGCTCTGCACTCCTTCTCCCTTCCCACTTAACCATGAACTTTGGATTATCACTACTACACTTGTCTCAAGATTGTACACAAAGCAGGCCTTTAATAAATAAACTCTGAGTCAGAAACACTAGGTCTCTTCCTTGGTTCAGGGTTTTAAGATCCTTGGAAGAAGGCATGAGAGAGACATTCAAAGGGCTATGTTACTTGTGTGAGTGTCACTATGGTCACTGTAGGCAATGCCCTTTAAGGAGCAGCTGGGACGGGATGTTACTGAGCCAGGGCGCTGCCAAAGCTGCTGAGTCATGTTAAAGTCAAGCCATTTACACCAGAGAAGGCTGGGTCACACTGGGTTGTAGTTTTCTCACTAGATGAGGAGAAAAAGACTCAGTGAGGCGCACAGAGGGTCAGGCAGACTGGAGCCTGAATTCTAACTTTTTAATCTACCATTTATTTACTGGCTACATGGCCTTGGGTAGGCTAGGCCACCGAAGGCCTCTGAGCCTTAATTTGCTCATAGTTACAAATGGAGGTAACAGAACCTATGTGGATGTACAGGTTGTAATGATTTCCCAAAACATTTCATTAAAAAAAAAAAAAAATGAAAATAGTTACACTGGAGAGGATAGTCTTAATTTTTTTCCTATTTCAAAATATTCTTTAGAATAAAAATCTGCCATCTTTTCAATTAAAACAAATTCTAGCCACTGTTGAACATTTGTGCGCCCCTATCATTCCTGCCTCTCGACATGTCTCCTGGGAGTTTTCTCTCTGATGCTCCTGGAACACAGCACGTGCCCAGGGATGGCTGATATTTTTTTATTATACCTTATGTGAAATTACCTGGCACCTAGGCAACTAAAACGTGCCAGCTTTCTTCCCTTTCTTTCTCATCAAAGGCAAGATTCACCAGATATTTTGCCTGCCTTCACCGTCCTACCAGCTTCACGGCTCTTCATTACAGGGGGCATTTAAGGGAATAACAAAAAAAATGCCTATTTTGTGTACTTCACATGCACTAGGCCCATTATTAGGATGTCATTCTGTCTTCCCTGGGATCAGTGAGTCTGCTTTAGCAGAAGCTTTGAGAAACCACCAAGAAAAGAGAATGATTCAGACATTCCTTTGTAACTCATTAGGGTTTCTTGTTATCACTGCTACTTCAAAGAAGGTTTTCTACTGATCATGAACAGCAGCTCACCATCACCACAAACAGAAGCTGAACTGCTCTGAACGCCTAGCCTTCCAGAAGGTTTCAATTTTGGGCTTTCAGGCCTTGTTAGCTAAGTTTTACTCAGACTTACAGCCTCAAACAAAGATCCTGATGTGGCACTGACCCACTGTGACCCACTGACATGGTGTGGTCACCATCAGAGGCCAATCCAGGTTTGCTCTAATGATCAGAACTACTGGCCCACTACCTGGTGTCAGTGAGGGTTGTAAGAACATTTGCTACCCCTCTCCCCTTTAATGGCAAAACATAATGCTAGAAAAGTTGTGATCAAACAAGTTGTTCTTATCCCCTGGTGACATTGTACACCATCTCCACTGTCTTGGTGAGCAATGCAGAGCTATATCGTAAGCATCATATAGACGTCAGACTTGTTCAATGAATGCTCTATCCTCCTGGGATTTTTTAAGAAAGTCTATAGTCTCACACACATACATACTACACTACGTGTACTAAGATGTTACTGTGTAATATACTATAATTTTTTAAAACCCTGGAAAACACGATGTCCAATAACAAGACGATGGTTTAGATCAGCATTTTTCAAACTTTTTAATATTAAGCACAGAAATCCTTTGTTCTAGAAGCAGATAGTTAAAACTCATGAAAAAAGTACAACTGCTCTGGTTAAAGTGAGGATTCTGGAGTCCTAACTGCAGCCTACAGCCTACCCATGACTTCTTGTCTTCTCCTTGGTGATGCTAGAGTTTCTCCTTGCAAATCTCTAGTTTTGGACCAACCATAGTTGAATAACCACTGCTTTAAGAAATTATGGTATGTCCACATAATGAATAGTTTACATGCATTGAAAATCATAGGTAAGACAATATACCTCTATATATGTGTGTATGTGTATATATGTCTATATATCTATATACATGTGTATATGTATGTAATATACATAGCTATAAATATACATTTATGGATATATGCATACATAAAAGCATATACAAATGTATGTATATCTACATATACACACACAAATGTGGGATTTGGAAAGGAATATATTTTTAAAAATGAGGAAAATAGTTATGCTAGAGTGGAAAGATAGTTTTTTTTTGGGGGGGGGGGTGGAGTTTTGCTCTTGTCGCCCAGGTTGGAGTGCAATGACTGGATCTCAGCTCACTGCAACCAACTCCTCCCGGGTTCAAGTGATTCTCCCGACTCAGCCTCCCGAGTAGCTGGGATTATAGGTATGTGCCACCATGCCTGGCTAATTTTTGTGCTTTTAGTAGAAACAGAGTTTCACCATGTTGGCCAGGCTAGTCTCAAACTCCTGACCTCAGGTGATCCACTCACCTTGGCCTCCCGAAGTGCTGGGATTACAGGTGTGAGCCACTGTGCCCAGCCTGATAGTTGTTTTTTTTTTTCCCCCTCTTTCTTCTTTTTTTTGAGACGGAGTCTCATTCTGTCACCCAGGCTGAAGTGCACTGGCACAATCTTGGCTCACTGCAAGCTCCACCTCCCGGGTTCAAGTGAATCTCCTGCCTCAGTCTCCCCAGTAGCTGGGATTACAGGTATGTGCCACCATGCTGGGCTAATTTTTGTACTTTTTAGTAGAGATGGGGTTTTGCCATTTGGCCAGGCTGGTCTCAAAGTCCTGACCTCAGGTGATCCACCCACCTTGGCCTTCCAAAGTGCTGGGATTACAGGTGTGAGCCACAGTGCCCAGCCTTTTTTCCTATTTTGAAATATTCTTTAGAATAAAAATACGCCATTTTTTCAATTAAAACAGTCTACCCACTGTTGAACATCTGTGCACCCTCATCATTGCTGCCTCTCAACACAGCTCCTGGGAATTTTTTCCCTGGTGCTCAATAGAAGCTGAGGCCAACATGTGCCTGCAGTCAAGTCAGGAGGGCAACATACGGGATAAGAGCAAGCACCTAGGCCTCACTATGCAAGCCAGGAACCGCAGCTGCAAGGCTAAGTGTCACTCTAGGGCGGGAAAGCAGTATTTAAAACAAGGCTGTCGAGTTAGAAATAGTCTTCCAGACATGTCCTATGGTGGAAACAGAAATTGGTGTAATTTTTCTGGAGGTAATTTAACATTATGTCTTATGACTTTAAAAATGCTCCCACCCTTTGGCATTTATTTATCCTAAAGAAGTAATTATGGCTACAAGCAGGGAGAATGCATCCAGCTGTATTAATATCAGTGGGAAAACGGAAAACAATCTAAAAATCCATTATCAGTTAAATAAATTGTGGTAGATCCATATAATGTCACATTATATAGTATTAAAAGTGACATATAGAAGAATATTTAATGATTTGTCAATATATACATCTTCCAAACAACATAAACAGGTTGATCTCATTTTTGTTAAAAGTTTATATATACATATATAAAATATTATACACTACTTATTACACATGTACAGACACACACCGAACCTGAACACAGCACAGTGTTCGTGGTTCTTGTCTCTAGGTGGGCAGTGAAAAGACAAAAGTCCCTGCCCTCATGAAGGTTACCTTCATAGTTTCTTAACCTCTCTTTCCCCCGATTTTCCCATCTGTAACATGGGAATAAAAGAATTCTTACTTCAGATGGGTGAGTGAAGATTACAAAGATTAAAATACATAAAGTGTTTAGAAGAGTACAAGACATACAATAAGCATAATAAATGTTAAATGTAAATATTTAAATTTATTTTATCTGCACTTTGTAAATTTTCAATAATGAAAATTACTGTTGTGAATTAGAAAGAAAAAAAAAAAAAGGAAGAAATCCCTAAAGCCCCAGATCAAGGACCTTGGTAACTCAGCAGCCTGTCCCTGCCACCCTCATCCGAAGCGGAGAGGTGCCACAGTGTCCTCAGGTTTACATCCAGGGAAGGTAACCGAGACAGGAGGAGACAGAACTTTTCCCCCAGGAGTGGTGCCTGCCACATTCCTTATGGAAGGAGCCACTGTGACTTTGTAAACAAGCCCAGCTCTTCAAAAGCCCCAAGGCATCACAGGGAGCTAGCCACCTAGATGAGATAATTATTCCCTCTGACCTAGTAATCCATCTCAGTTCTGGAAATCTATCTAAGGGGAGTAATTCAAGAGAAGCAAAAAGAGGCACAAGCTAAGACATTCAGTTTGGTGCTATCTGATATTAGAAATAGTTAGGGAAACATCCTAAAAGGATAGGCATCAACATCAACCTAGGATTTAAGTTAACTATGGGATATCTACCCTATGAAATAGAAACAACTATCAAAAATTTTAACTACAAAGACCATGAGGGAATGTAGAAAATACGTGTGATGTAAGATCAAGAGAGAAATAACAAAACACAAAAGTGTATTATGACTTGGGCCAGGCGCAGTGGCTCATGCCTGTAATCCTGGCACTTTGGGAGGCTGAGGTGGGTGGATCACCTGAGGTCAGGACTTTGAGACCAGCCTGACCATGGCGAATTCCCGTCTCTACTAAAAGTACAAAAATTAGGTGGGCGTAGTGGGGCACCCCTGTAATCCCAGCTACTAAGGAGGCTGAGGCAGGAGAATTGCTTGAACCCGGGAGGCAGAGGTTGCAGTGAGCCGAGATCGTGCCACTTCACTTCAGCCTGGGCAACACAGCAAGACTCTGTCTCAAAAAAAAAAAAAAAAAAAAAGTGTATATGACCTGACCAAGCAAAATGATGCAGTGATGTAACTAGTAACAAATGAAACAAGTGAAATGAAACAAATGAAAACAGTTAGATTAGCATGGTAACATGAGTGATGATTTTTCTTGCACACATTTCCCTATAAGAAATTAAAGTAAGCATAAACCAAACAAATCATTCAAAACCGCTGGAGACAATGTTCTTCATGTGGCTTTAAAAGACCCTGTTCTAGGCCAGGTGTGGCGTGGTGGCTCATGCCTGTAATTCTGGCAATCTGGGAGGCCGAGGTGGGTGGATTGCCTGAGCTCAGGAGTTCGAGACCTGCCTGGGCAACATGGTGAAACCCCATAGCTAGTAAAATACAAAAGAAATTAGCTGAGCATGGTGGCACACGCCTGTAATCCTAGCTACTCGGGAAGCTGAGGCATGAGAATCGCTTGAACCTGGGAGGTGGAGGTTGCAGTGAGCCGAGGTCACGCCACTGTACTCCAGCCTGGGCAACAGAGAGACTCTCTACAAAAAAATAAATAATAATAATAATAAAAGACTCTGTTCTTCTATCTCAGCCTTTCCCAGATTGGGTGTAATGATAAGTTAAATGATGTTTGACTTATTTTTTTTTGGAGGGGTACAGGGAGGTGGTCCATATTCAAAGGAGTGAGAGATAGGATCAAACTAAACTAAGCAGCAGTCTTCATTAGAGGACTTCTCTAATGTTTATGACTACTGTGGATTTTTTAAATGCAGACACATTTCTCAAACTAGTCATCAACTTCCCTGCACTGCCTTGTTCTCCCCCATTGACAATACTAGCATTCCTGGAACACAGGGAAACAGCCCCTCTCCTTGATAGCATCTAGGGCCCAGAGCAGGCCTCCCTTCCTCCTGCCCTCAGGTGTCTCCCTCTGCGGGCAGAGAATGCCCTGTGCCCTGTTCCCAGCATCACACTGCTGTGCAAAGTAGCTCATCACGCTGTGCACGAAAATGTGTAATTATGTTGAGGAGGCACTTGGTGTCTCAGCCCCAATGTCAGATGTTAGAGACCTGCTGGAGAGATTGTGACTGGCAGTTACTGGGTTTCTAACTTTAGAGGTGAAGATTCCTTTTTCTTTCCCAAGTTTGAAAGGTTTTTTTCTTTTTTTTTTTGTAGGGGGCTGTTGATTTTAAGTTGTATAAGTTAGACGCAATAAAGCATAGTACTTAACCCCTTAATACCTAAAGGCAAAACACAGTCTAATCTAATCTTTTATTAATCTAAGTTCATATTCTTATCTATTACAATAAACTTTGGAATCCAGTTGTTATTGCTAGATTCACCTAATCCCCTGATTAATTCTGATAGGGACTCATTAAGTCTGTATTAGACACCAGGCCTTTGAAGCAGCAAATGAACTAATAATTTATAAACTAATAATTATTATAAACTAATAATGTATGCTTTCTGAGGTCTCTGAGCTATGCTAGCTGTTAAAAGCTGAATTTTAACATCTTGTTCCAGTGCCTATGATCTCAGCCATATCTTTGCTCTTTCTAGAAAATGAAGGGGGGTTGGAAAGGTGTGGGCTTTGCAATAGACAGAGCTGAATCCTTGCTCCCTGCTTCTCAGCTGTGTGGATGTGGGGACCTCAGCTTTCCAAGCCTCTCCAAGCTGCAGACAACAGCTTTCTCAAAAGGCTGAGCTGGGACTTAGAAGAAAGTAGCTCACTGAATGAGTTTCCTTCCCTTTGCCATTTCACATGAGGTTTCTATGGAAAGCCTTTTGCAGAAGAGGAACGTGAGATTTTGACATTTTGTTATTTTCCCCCAAGGGTATGTATGGAACTTCTTCCAAGTTCTAAGGAAGTGGGGCATCTTGTTCAAAGATAAATGAGTTTGGCCCTCCTCCCCCGAAGCCTGCAAAGCTTATGGATGGCTTCTTGGGGAAGCCCCATGGCAGGGACCACAGGCATTGTTTAATGGTGCCCCTTTCCTTTGTTCAACTCACAATCCACATTCCACTTGATGCTTCTGGGAGGAAGTTTCAGGGTTTCATTGATCTTCTCCAGGACAGTCTGCAGTTTTTGCTTCTGAGCAATCTCTGACTGGGTGACCTCAGCCACATTTAGCTTCTCGCTCTCCAGTTTCTCTGAGGGTGACAAGGGAAAAGAGAACAGCTGTTATGCTGGGCCCCGGACAACCCTACCGCATGCACTTACTCACTTATTCGGTCTCTTATGCACTCATGCATGCATGCACTCTCGCAACAATAGATACTGGATGCCTACCAGCAGAGGGACACTGCTGTCCCCTCATCACCTTATGGTGGCACCAGCAGCATCAGTACTGTAAGAGCCTGGTGATCATGACTTGAATCCCCAGATCCCAGGGGCATTTTACCTAGCCTGTCATATTTGAACTCTATCATTCTGGAGTTTTCTCCTTCTTTTCAATTCTACCTTCTCCAAGGACATCTCTGTGCTCTGACTGGAAAACCTTCTCTGTAGAGTGAGTCAAGGCATTTTGCACATTCCTGTAGTACAGTCTATGTCACATCCAATCATATTTATCTGTTTTAAGTACCTTCTTTCCTTTTAAACCCACCTGGAAGGTAACTTACTTAATGTGTCATAGTTAATCAATTCTAAGGCACATATTTTTCACACTTTAACATCCCTAAAGTCAGGTTGTATCTTACTGGCATCCTACAATGGCTGCCAGCTAGGTGGAAGGTCTAAGAGTTATCATTGTTTCCATAGGCGTGAACTTGTTCACAGCTCTTCATAGTATGATTACTTACATGTCTCAATAAGCCTACATAAGTACCTTCAAAAAGTATAAAATAAAAATTCTCAGCAACAAGAAAGCATTGAGTAATAGCTTAAAGTGATTTTTCTCTTTCTGAGTGGTACTTATATAATGGTGTGTTTTAAAATCAATGGTTTTTTAATGCAATGACATAACACCTTAATACTTAAAGGAAAAACTCAGTCTAATCATTTTATTAATCTAAATTCATATTTCAATCTATTACAAAGAAAAAAACAACTTTGGACTCCTTAACAGGAAATTGGTTGTCTACCACTGGAACTCACCTAATCGGTTCTAATTCATTTAAGATTGACAGAACTGCACACATTTAAAGTATCTTTTCTACTTTTTAAGGGCTGCTATACAAACAAATTAAATTTTACTATGTATCAATATTTCTCCTAATGCTTACATTATTTATTTTTAAATAACTGGTTTATCTAAGCCAAATGCCCCTTGAGTCATTCTTTGAAGATAAAGTTGCCCAATGGAGAATTTATGCAGGTTCTGTGGATTTGTGAATTTTTTTTAAGCACCTCAGTAGGATAATCTCAAGCTATTCTTACCTGTGATGGCCTGAAACGTTTTCCTTAGTTATTTCAAGCCATCTCTATCTCTAAAGTTCAGGGATTTAACAAGAATATATCTAAATGTCTTCTTCTTACATCTTGAAGAGACCTTGTGTGTGCCTTATACATTTTTAGGCTGAATTCTTATCTTGGATCCTCTCCTACTAAAAAAATGACAAGTTATTTTCTTTCACTTTTTCCCATTATTTTTGGATGATGTAATTGTCTCTATAGAAGCAAATTATTTTAATCTTACTTTGCAACTACAAGCATTGGATAGAGGCTGCCCAAAATGCTAGGTTAAGAACCTTCTAGTCTTGTCTTGGCTCAGAGGAAAAGATTGCAGGCAAAGATTACTGATGACTGTTGTGAGAGAGGGTTGGGTGGGGAGGAGAGGAGTGAGGAGGAGCCATTTGTTTGCTAGCTCTGCTGTATTACATCATTGTCTATAAATTTTCATATTTAAAATCTGGCATTGAACAGATTTTCAGCTTAGGTCTCTGAGTCTGTTTTCTAGGTCAATAACTTTTTCTTGCACAGTTGTCTATTTCATTCTTATTTTTTTAAAAATGGTGTGACATAAGAAATATACATCTTGTCTCCTTGATCCCCCTTCCTAGCACAGAGTTCCTAAAACCCTTGTAACTTTCTGAAAGATGATAGTGGCATCTTTTGTTATAATATTTGGGTTTTGTCCCCAGTTCCTGAAAAAGCTCTAAAATGATTAAGGTAAGAGGAACATCTTTTGTTTTTCATAACACACCCCTTCTACCTACATCTGAGTTTATGTTAATGAGGCAACTTTTGGAAAGCTCTGAGGATGGGGGAGCTGATTGCCAGGAGAACCAAGCATATGACTAAAGGATTGGAACATTCAGCCTCATACCCCCGACCCATGAGAGAGGGGAGGGAAGCTGGAGGTCACCTATCAATGGCCAGTGATTTAACCAATTATGCCTACTTAATGACACTTCATAAAAACTCTGGCCGAAAATGTTCAGAGGACTTCCTGGTTGGTAAATATATGAAGGTGCTGGAGGGTTGTGCACATGAGAAGGCATGGAAGCTCTGTGCTTCTCCCACAAACCATGCCCTATGCATCTCTTCCTCTTGGCTGATTTTGAGTTTTATCCTTTATAATAGACTAGTAAACCTAAGTGCCTTCCTGAGTTCTGTGTGCCATTCTGGCAAATAATCATATCTGAGGAAGGGGTTTTGGAAACCCCTGATCTATTATAGCTAGTTGGTCAGAAGTACAGGAAGTCTGAACTTGGTGAATGCCAACTGAAGTGGGGACACTCTTGTGGCACTGAGCCCTTAACCTGTGAGGGCTGTGCTAACTTTGGGCCAGTGGTATCAACATTAAATTGTAGGACACCCTGTTGGTGTCCATAGAGAACTGGAAAATTGCTTAGTGTGGAAAACCCACACATTTGGTGTCAGAAGTGTTAGGAGTTTAGAGACATGTGTTTTCCATTATTGGATTTCACACCTTACTTACAAAAGCATCCATTGCTTTTCTGTTTCCACTAATATATTTAACTAGTCTATGATACTAAAATTGTAGTGCATTCTTCCTAAAATTAAATTTTTTCCTTTTTTTTTAGCATCTGGTATTTCTTATTTGGGAGAAGCATTTTTGTGGCTTTGTTTTGCGTTGCAAATGTTTTATGGAATGTAATTCTGCTTTACTTCTTTCCATTTTAGTCATTATGCTTTGGGTTTATCTTCCTGCTTTTAATTTTGGCTGTTGGATATTTTATTTTAGGTATTGATATTGATATTAAGTGGATTTGCATAAAAATATATCTCCAAGTAATCCTTATTGTGTATATATTAATATTCTCTTTCTCTCCTTTTTATTTTTATTTTTTTGAGATGGAGTCTCATTCTGTTGCCCAAGCTGGAGTGCACTGGCACAATCTCAGCTTACTGCAACCTCCGCCTCCCGGTTTCAAGGTATTCTCCTGTCTCAGCCTCCTGAGTAGCTGGGATTACAGGCATGCGCCAACACGCCCAGCTAATTTTTGTATTTTTAGTAGAGATGGGGTTTCACTATGTTGGTCAGGCTGGTCTCGAACTCCTGGACTCAAGAGATCCACCCACCTCAGCCTCCCAAAGTCCTGGGATTACAGGCATGAGCCACCGCACCCGGACTTCTCTTTCTCTTTTAATAAAAATGAGATTATAGTGTATATATATTTTTGCTATTGGCTTTTTTCCACTCATATATATATCATAAGTCTTTTTAGGTCAATATATGAATATAACTCATTCTTTTTCAAAACTGCATATTGCATTATATGACTTATAACTTGACATACAGCCAGGTTATAACCCACATTTTCCCTATTTGTAATAAAGTCGCAATAAACATCTTGTGTGTGTGTGTATGTATTATTAATTGATTACTGCTGGTAAACATGAAAGCTATTGCCTTACAGATTTTTTCCTTGTATGTTGTCATCTTACCAAATCCCTTTATTAGTCCTATTGTGGTTTGAGTCTTCAGCATTCTCTGGGTATGCAAGTAAAACACTGTTATCTCTATTTTGCAGACTTATGTGACATATTTTAATTTTCTGATATTTTAAATAAAAGATTAGTTTGAGAACTTCTGCTATTCCTACCCCTCCTTTATCTTTAAGGTATTCAACCCTTAAAATATAAGAGGCCCACTCAAATATTTCTATAGCTTAATAGTAATTTACTCAACGTTAGTAAGGATTTAAAGATAATGTTCTTTTGTGGGCTAATTTCAGCTAGTTCCATAAAGTTTTCTATTGCTGAAGTTTTATTCTTCCAGGAAACTGTTTCCCTCATGTTTCCATAGTTACACAAATTGTTCATAACTAATTTAACTCTTCATAAGTATTAGGCATGATTTTGAAATTGATAGGATGTGATTTAGAAAATTTTCTCAAAAAAAAAAAAAAAAAAAAAAAAAAGAAAATTTTCTCAGGTGGATTATTTTGTGAATCTTTGAGTTGTTTTTGAAGGTATTACCCAAATTTGCTTTTGGAGAGATTATACATAGAAAACAATGAAACAGTATTCAAAAGTTCTGACGCATACAGACAAGGCAGAATAAACTCAATTACCCTGAATGGTGGGAGAACTGAGATGTTCTAACAAACACAGTTGTCATATATACCACACTATATTAATGTAACCACCCTTCAAGAACTAAAATATGTGAAATACTCTTTCCAGTATGAGCAACTCCTGAGTTGTTTAAAAAATACTTCTGTCTCCAAGTATATTAGGAGAGAAACTTGCACTATAGTCAGAGAATTTGGTTTGTATACCAATTTGTTGAGGTTTGCTTTATGGACATAGTGAAATTTCGTAAGTGTTCCGTGAGCAGTTGAAAAGAATACAGTTTGCAGGGTATCATATGCTACATGCAGATTAGTTAGAGCTGATTGACTGTATTGCTCAAACATTCTCTATGAACTTTTTTCTTAATATGTTATTAAAAGAAGTATGTTAAAAACTGCCACTGTGATAGGTTTGTCAAATTCTTGAAGTAATGATTATCATTTTAAATTTTTAAGTATTTGATATACAAAAGTACATATAAGTTTAAAATTTCTGTATTTTCCTAGTGACTTTAATTTCTTATTAATATGTAGTGACTCTCTGCAGTAATGCCTTTTGCCTTAAAGTCTATTTTGTATGATGTAAAATAGTTACGCCAGCTTTAAAAAAATTAGTCCAGTATACATAATTATTTCCACCCTTTTTCTTTCAACCTTTGTGTGTCCCT